ATTGATAAGACCTGCATTATCATTGCCATCTTAGGCGCCACAGCATGAAAGTTTATCAACCTGTTGGCCAGTACTATGCTTAGTATACACAGCTGTAGAACTCACTTATTAGCCTGATGATGAATGATGAATTAACCAGCCTTATGTTTCTGTGATAAGAAAAGATGGGAGGAGACTTGTGTTGTCATAGTCCTGAAATTTATTGATGTTCCTCCCTCCAATCTTTTCTTTGATTTTTAATTCTTCAAGTTGCCACTTCCTCATGATCATTTTGGCATAGAGTTTGAACAAGAAAGGTGAAAGAATGTTACCTTGTTACAGTCCTTTCTCTATCTTGAACCAATAAGTGTCTCCATATGATGTTTGCACTGTGACTTCTTGATTTGTGTACAGCTACTGTACCAACTGAACTAGATGTGTTGCTACCACCAAATCTTCTAAGGCTCTCTACAGCTTGTCATGATCAAGAATTGATGATGCTGTCTTTTTGCTGTTGCATAATTTTACTCAGTTCATTATTTAATCCACAGTTTATACCCAGATATATCTTGGCACTGAGGATTAAACTGGACCATTCATAACTGCATAGAACATAGCTGATTTGATTATGGTGCCATTTATTTGGTGCAGTTCAAATGTATAAGTGATGCTTGTGCTATCTGAACCAGGTATTCATGATTCAAAATAAAATTTCAAGATAAACTGAAACAAATGATCATCTGTGCCTTTCCTTTTCCCAAGTCCAAAACTGCATTGAAATCACCCAGTTCATAAACTATATCTTTTGGAGGAATTTGCTTCACAGTTATTTCAGTGCTGATATAAAAACCCTCTATTTGCATCAGTTGTTGGGGTATAGACGGTTACAACTCTGATTTTGAGGAACCTAGCACAGATTTGGATGGTTACAAGGCTATTATTAACTGTTGAGAAGCTGTCCACTGCTTGAGTGGTTTCTTATTTGTGATAAATGCCAACAAGTAACAGATAGTGAATTCTTCAGACTGGAAATAGTTTTGTCTATCTAGTGTAGCTCACTGACCCAAGGAGGTTGATTTTCAACCCAACCATCTCCCATTTGATAATATCCAATTTACCTTGGCCACGTTTCTATTTCAGTTCTTCATACAGCGCAGACCTTTCCTTTCACCAATGGCTGCATCAGCATCTGGGATTCCTGCTGGATAGTTAGGTGCATCATTAATGCCTTGACTACTCACTACAGTTCATAAATATCATACCTGCTGGCTACTCATTCAATCAAATACATCTTTCCCTGGAATCAACCAACACAATGCCAAGAAAAGACCTAGCTTCTTGAAAAATTTGTTGACATGTTACACCTGTCCTCACAGGCTTCAAATCACCTTTTCCTTTTTGAATCCAGATTACTGCACAATTCTGATAAATAAATGAAAGTATTTTAAACTGTTACAATGTGATGGCAGCCTTCATTTCAAGCGTTTGAAATATAACAATAAGATGTTGCACTGAATTTGACCATGAAGTGTAGGCGATTCAACATGCTAAGTTTCATTTATTATTAATAAAAAGAATCCCAAACTCTTGGGAGCCTCCCAAGAGAGACTTGGAGTGTAAAAGCTAAGGTGTAGAAAGATTTTTTTTTTTAAAAAAAAAATGAGATGTCTGTTTTCATCCATAACTATTAAGGCACTTTGGCTGAATATGAATTGCATAAGATTGCGTGTCTTGGTAATACTGCTTTTATTTATAAAAGAAGCCTTCATGGCTATCTGTTCTCTTGCTAATTCACTAACTCCACTTCTATCCCCTTTTACTTCAGGTGCTTTTTTGTTGACAAACTTTTCCATCCATAGCAGGTTATACTGCTATGCTGTCTCTGAAATATGAAATATTCCATACTGGGACCAGATATCTAAGGGGAAAAAGGTCCTTTGATTTCTCTTCTCCTCCTGGGTCTTTTTTCACCAACATAACAGATGAGAACAACTCCCTTTCTACCCTGTATTCTGTTACTTATCATTTTAAATATAGCATGATGCTAGGGAAAAGCAGGCCTTATACCAGCGTTTCTCAACATTCGTGTGACGGCAATCCCCGTCACACAAACGTGCTGCGCATGCGTGGCGCCCCCCATGCATGGCGCACATGCGCGGCGGCCCCATGCGCAGCGCACATGCGCGGTGGCGGCCCCATGCGCGGTGCACATGCGCAGCACCAGCCCCATGCGCAGCGCCGGCCCTGAGGGGGAAAATGGCGGATCGCATTGTTTGGCGACCCCCATAAAATGGTCGCAACCCATAGGTTGAGAACCGCTGCCTTATACAGTAACTCACATCTCGTACACCGAATACCATGGTTATAGAATTTGGTAGTCAGCTTTGGAATTAATTCATTTTGAGCCTCTGGTGCTGGAAAGAGAAACCTATTCTTTTTTAGCCACTTTTTTGTGTATATGTACAGTATATGCAGGGATACACTGAGCAATATTAAATGAATAGAATTAATTTGCTTCTCCAGCATACATTCCCTAATCTTGCTAATATCTACTAGAAAACCTTTCTTTCTTCCTTCCTTCCTTCCTTCCTTCCTTCCTTCCTTCCTTCCTTCCTTCCTTCCTTCTCTCTCTCTCTCTCTCTCTCTCTATCTCTATCTTTATCTCTCTATCTCTCTCTTTTCTTTTCATTGTGGAAATAAACATTGCAAACTGCTGAAAAATATGGGTTCTTTATAGCAGTGCTCATTTCTGATCCTCAGAGCCCTGGATTTGATTATGTTAAAACAAAATTGTTTTGATTTAAGAGTGGAACTATTTATATGTTTATTTAAGAATGAGTATAAATTAAACCTCTGTGTTATTGTGAGCACACTTCTAGTCTTGTATCATCCAATTTATTAATAGTTTGTTCTCGGATATTTTGTTTTTAAATCCCTTTTGGTCATCTGTCAGATGCCTTGTTGATAACCCCTTAATCTCTTTAGCCAGGACAGGATTATCTGAATGCTTGAAAGAATAGAGAAAATGGAGTGGAGATATTGTAAATGCTTCCCAGGCAGCTATATTAAAGAAGTGGTGATTAGATCATTTTTCTTGTTTCATAAATAAAAATTAAAAATTATTTCCAAAGAATGTGAGGGAATGAGGGAAGGAAGATTCATTTTCTATCCTTTTGAATGTATTACATTCTGATTAACTAAATCCTTGCCATCTCAAGTTGGAAAGGGGCATTTTATTATCCCTAATCTGAATTTGTGATAGAAGATTCTGCTTTACCCTGATCTTCAATCTCAGGGATAATTCCTTTGTGATATTCTTGGGCACAAATAGTCTTTCTGATTCTAGCCATCTATGCAAACTCCAGGCAGGATTAACGTTCCTTTTCAGAGAATTAAACAAGAGCAAAAGGAATCAATTGTTCCATGTTGAAAAAGGCTGATTAAGATTTCATCACACAATGTTATAAAGGGAGTTCTCCCTCCCCCATCCTCCATAAATCCTTTTTTTTTTTTTTTTTTTGCAGCAGGGAAGAAACAAATAGGTAGTTGAACTATTACATAATTTTTTTTGAAACCTGGTGAATCATTGTGGCATTTATTTTCATAATATTTATAAAGTATTTAATTTTTAGTTCTTGTATATATTTCTCTGTCAGACACAGGAGTTCACTGTTTTTCAAAAAATAACTTCCCTTCTAATCTGATGTTTGGGGAGCAGCTGATCTTTCTTTGACAGAAATTTTCTATCATATCTATTAAAAGTGCTTGGAATCTTAACCAATGTCATATGGGTATATTAGTACTGCACATATCATTCATAGGGGCATTTCATGAAGTCACCAAGAAGTCTCTCCAAACTCACTACTCAAAGCATCATAGTACCTCATTCTTACCTGATGGTTCAGGATAAGGTGCTTCAATACCTTTTGCTTATGGTAACATTAAAGAAGAATATTTGTAGCTCAGGGTTGAAAATGTGGGATCCTCGGTGCTCTCTGAGTTTAGTTGTTTTCTTGCAGATATTTCATTACCCAGATTAGGTAATATCATCACTGCTAGCCCCTCTTTTGCATCTGCTCAGCAGCAAACCCAGTATAAACATTGAAGTATTATTGGGGAATATATCCTACATTATGTCAGTCTTGTGGAACTTTAAAATTTTAGTGAAGATGTGTGCAAGTATGCATTAAAGTCCTTTGATCTACTAATCTTTTGATGATTAATCATCCATGTGTAGAACAGGCAGTCCAGATGGAAAGGAAACTGACTGTAACAAATGTTGTACTCGTGATAATGAATACTGCATTCAATATAATTAATTTACATAAAGATTTCTATATTGCCAGTCACCTTATCCAATATAAAGATTTCTATATTGCCAGTCACCTTATCCAATATATCTTACTCTGATATTTATATTGGTCCCTTTATTAACTTTGTGTAGGGACATATGAAAAATACATCTTTCTCAAACACTTTGTCCAATATAGATAAAGGAGTAGTTGTTGATGGAATGGTTAAAATGTTTTTTTTTTCTTCTGAAAATGCTGGGTGTTTTAAGATGAGCCTTCTATTTGCAACTGTCTGCATTTTTCTATTTCTTTTTTTAACCAGGAAAAGATCAATTAAGTGGAAAAGATTGACTTCCTTTACAATGTCATTTGATTGCTACTGCCTGGCACTCTCCATCTGAAAACACCAAATTTGCTTTCTGGCATGCACATATTTCTGCCATTTAAAATCCTGAGATGTAATTGAAAATTGTTTGTGTTATTTGACAGGTAGATTGACACAAAGAGATCCAATTGTTTATTAAGGAATGCTTCTAATTTGTGAGGTTTCTTAGGCTAACTCTCCCCACCCCCAATTTTCCTCAACATAATAGAATTGCTCATAGTTTGGAGTTAATAAAGCTTCTGTTTTAATCCTGATACAACCATGCTGAAGCATGAAGGCCTTGCTTTTTGCCATTTTCACTGCAGCTCACCTTTTTCTTTGTTTGCATTGCTTATTGATTCCAGGGGTTATTCTGTTACTTCTGGATAAATTGCGCAAGATGAAATGGGAGCAGATGTGGAGACTCACAGCTGAAAGAGAGCTAATGAGCATGCTCTCCACCTCATTGGCCGACCAGGTGAGTGTGTGCTGACATCAGGATTACCCCTGAAAGTAGGGAATGGAAAGAGAAGTCTTACCACTTACATTACAGAACTTTTCCAGCCAATGTTGATGGTTCACTGCAGTGACTTACAACCATGTTTAGTGACCATTCAAAGTTATGACAGTGCTGAAAAAAGTGACTTATGACTGTTTCTCACATTTCCAACCATCACAACATTCCCATAGCCTCTTTATCAAAACTCAGGTGCTTGTCAATCAGCAGGTATTTACAGTGGTTGCAACTCAGGTGATCTCCATTTGCAACCTTACCAGGCAAGTTTCAACAAGCAAAGTCAGAAGGGGAAGCTGGATTCACTTAATAACAGTGTGATCACTTAACTACCAAACCAAAAAGGGTCATTAAAATCAGGTGTGACTCTCATAGCGATAGAGATTCAGGTCCCAATTGTAATCATAAGTTAAACAGTACTTTTAGATGGATTTTTTTAAAAATGGATGCTTGCTGGTATGAGAACAACAAATCCAACTTTCCCAGAATAACAGTGTGCTGATACAGATTATATAAGCAAACTATGTTGAAGTATTGGAAGTAGCTTTCAAGAAGCACGCTTTTGTCAATTTGTAGGTATTCAGGGTGAAATCTTTTTAGGATAGGAATTTTACAAGAATCATTTAACTATTTAAATATTATATGCTATTTTCTCTGTTGGTCACTATGCTGTTTAAACAACTTATGAACAAAATAATTGAGAATGAATCATAAAATTGTAGTAAATTATTTTTGAAAAGCATAATGTACAGATGAGGGAAGTCTTTGGCTTGATCTAGCTTTTTTTTTAAAGCCTATTTTCTGCTCACCTTCAGAAGCCCCCCTTTTAAAAATGGAAAGCTGAAGACTGAAGAAGCTTAAAAAATATCATTTTCTTCTATATTAGTTTTGCCATTGTCAGTTCAACAAGCGTTCTTTATGATTTCGCCTGTCTCCAACTTTAATAATCACCTTTGTCTTTTTCATTTTCTACCATATCATCTGAGTGCCTCACAGACATTAAGGATATTATACTCAGAGCATACTTGGGAGTTGGAGACGATTCATTACTCCATTTTTTCAGAAAGGATACAGATATGTGAAGCAATTAATGTTCTGATACAAAATCGATCAAAATCTGTTTCAAAACTCCTAAGTTCAGCTACCATTCCAAAATAATTTCCTTCTGCACAGTCTATGGAAGGCCACTGTGACTACTCTAGAGTTCATATGTATAAATTTAATTTGGCTTTCAATTTGCCTTTTAAAAATTATATTTTAGGATGGGAACTCCTGCGCTGAGCTGAAGAAATGAAGTGGCATCTGAGCTTCATTTCTGTAAACAAAAGTAACAGTTCCCCTTCCACTTCCAGGCATGGAGCAGAGAGGAAATTTTTGGGCAAGCAGGAGCAATTTGCAACCTTCCCTGCCAGCTTCTCCACTGACTTTCTGGGGAAGTGGCAAAGAAGATTGCAAATGAAGATCACCTGACCATGGAGCATTTGGTGAGCAGTCATAAGTGCAACATGTTGCCAAGCACCCAGATCACAATCATGTGACTCCTGGAGTGGCTGGAGTGACATTTTACAATGACCAGAAGTGCTTAGTGAAATGTTGAGTAGTCATTAAACAACTGGTCATAAGTTGAGGATCCCCTGTACCTGGCAAGATTATGCTACAACTTCCAAAGCAAATTTATCTTTATCTTTCCCTTCTTTGAACAAATTATGTCTAAATGGCTGATATCTTCCAACAGTGTCAGATGTCAGAATACCATCACAAAAATCTCCCCAATTTTATTGAATATGGCAACATATCTGTAATATATATTTTAATGCCAAATTAAATATCTCACATTATGCTTATTAGATGGTTTAATTGTAAAAGCATAATTGGTTCGGTGATGTTGATGTTCCTCAAGAAAACACTATGACAATGAGACCATATCCTGTGTCATGAGAGCTATTTTCCATATAATTTGTTTTTATTGATATTTCACTTATTTAGGAAATTTATATAGCCATCCATCTTAAAACACAATTTTTCTTGGCTCACAACTCTTTATTCAAGTATTTGTATCTGCCTCATTCCATAGATTTTTGACAGTTCTCATAAATTTATAGCTCTAGAGTAACTTAGAGCCTTAGAGAGAGGCTATCCAGACTTTGGGATTGGGCAAGCTTCTCCAAAGAGCTGAAACAGCCAAGGAGAACTCCTACTTTTTATTTCCAAGTGTCTAACATTTTGAAAGGAAAATGTATTTGAAGCATTCCTTCCTTAAAAGATTGCACAGCACAAATGACAGGTGACTTGAAGATGTTCCAAAAGTATTCTGTCCAAACCATACAAAGTTCTATAGGTGAAAACAGCAGAATTATATCCAGAAACACAGGTATCCAATACAATGCTTAGAGTCTTGATGAAATATTCCTGTAAGAGCTCACACCCATCAGCAGTTTGAGGTAACTTTTTCTTGACAGAGCTTCCCAGGCAAAATTTTGAGCCTTTAGCAATTTAGCTAAGATTTTCTTGGCTACAGCCTCCATTTTCTGATCAAGTAGAAACCATGAATCAAAGAGGATCGAAGATTGTGGAACTGTAATTCCTCCCAAAGTCAAATAACAAGTTCAAAATGAGCCAGATGATTTTTAGAATAGACCACAATTCCACCCTAATAATAAAAATAAATTGAGCTACTTCTATTCCAGCCAGTCCCCAACTTCCAACACTGGTTAAGAAGATACATTGTACCTCCTATTGTGAAAATATACAGGTCGGTATATCATCTGCATATTGATGAAGCTTCACTCTGAACTGATGAATTATCTCCGGAACTACCAAATGAGAATAATTAGAACCATTGCAAAACAGCCCCAGACCTCAAAGATAATCTACTATGGTTGATGAGTTCCATAACTGTTCAGTGGTCTGAAAATCCAAAAAAACAGTATTCCTTCTTCTCACAAGTTATCCATAAAGTTTCCAGTTTCCATCACACAACCAGATCAAAGTTTAACTGAAAAGTTTCAAGATAACCTGCTTTATCCAGGTCTCACTAAATGATATTTCATAAAAAAAAAATTCTGAAATCTTTCTTAAACAGGAAATGCTAGAGACTGGACAATTGTTGCCCAATATTGCAAGATAAGAAAATGAGTTATTCTATTTTTTTCCTCTTTCTAGGAAAAAACTGTAAGCAGTGATATATGTAGGCACTGTTTCATTACTTTTGCAATGTAATGGGTTAGGATCAATCACTTTTTCCTACCTAGTATTCTACATATAGTGCTAAATGATAGGTTGGTGGGAAAGTAGACAGACAAAAAGATAGTGCTTTTCCAATAGATACCAAGATCCTTGTAAAAAAGTTTCAAGTGAGGCAGCCTTGGTTTAAATATGAGGATTATATATGGAATTCAATTTAACTGTCTGGTGGGAAAAGTATAATCTTATAATCAATACCCATTCTGAACTGAAGGCAGAAGTGATTGAAGCATTTTGGATTAACTATTAGCTTTGATTATATATAATCACATACTGCATTTCCAGGATGATACACATCTAAGGACCTGTATGTGTTTTATCTGACCATATTTTGTTTTTTACTCCCCCCCCCTCCATGTCTTTTTAGCTTATTTTGTTATCCTTTTTTATTCAAAGTATGGCTTTTTTGCAATGTTCTCTGAATTTTTTTCCTATTCAACACCACCACCACCATCATTATCAACAAAAAGTGATAAATATCCAAACTCTCTATTATTTCTTTCAAATTTATCACTTTTTTTCTCACACTGTTGAAGAGATACTACTGATAGTATATTAGATTACTGTTGGACCTTATGCATAAGTATATTTCATGATAGCTGAGAAGCTTCAGTGGAATCAGAACTCCACTACTTTGATTCTGAGTAGTGTGTCAAATAAGGCCACTACAGTCCTTCACTAAAATTCTGAAAGAATAGCATGCTTTTTAAGCCTAACCCAAGGCTCATTATTAAAGCCCACCTGAAGCCAAAATAACCACTCTCAAATTATCATATTTAGAACATAATTATATAAAATTCTAGCTCTCTTGAAAAGTCTATAATGCTGGGAAAGGTGGAAAGAGATGGCTATATAGAGGAATACAGAGATTGCCTTCAAGTAAAGTGAACTCTACCTAGGAAAACAGTGAAGTGTGTTTTCCAAAAGAAAACTCAAGATTGGCCTGCTTTGACTGTGTTTGGTATGAAAGAGAGGGAAAGGGAAGCTCTGTCAGATTTTCTATAGTTATAGCCTACATCAACAACATTCTAGTATTTGTGATGTCTGTTTTCCAAGCTGGTCTAATTCAAATGACTGAGAGATGAATTCATAGTGCAACAAATATACCCAATGGAGGATCTGAGGCATCCAGGCTAGAAAGAGATCATGCTGGAGAATATCTCTTTGGTTGCTAGGAGTCAGCACCAACTTGATGGCATATAACTAGTCAAACAATGTGGAAAGTCAATATCTATTCTAAAGAAATAGTGTTCCTAATAATCAGAAAGGCCCTTATCTACACTCTTCTGTTAGAAGAAGTATATTATTAAACTTTAAAAAAAAGATTTTTCTCTATGAGACATTGCTAAATTGGATGCTCTCACTAGGGAAATATAGTAAGGATTAGGGTAGATCCTTTTAGCTCCAAATTAAAACACATCTTTTTTAATCTTTAAAAAGCAATATTGAATATCTTGAAGCTCTTATTTTTAAGTTGTCAATGCAGTTAAATCTAGATAAGTTTTAATTTATTATGGTTGGTCCTTCTTAGTTTGCAATTTGATGCTTTTAACCTCAAATGTTGCTATAAAATGTTTTTTTTATATCTTTGATTATGAAGATACAGTATTCAGATTTGATAGTGACATAATGTGTGTGGGCAGGTTTTAACAACCGTGACAAGGAAAGGAGTAGGCAGCTTTGTTTTATAGTTAGTCTTTCTTAAGAACCCAACAGCTGTCAAATGTGAAGCAGAAGCAGAGTTCCAGGCTATACTGACAAATACAGTGTATGACTGACAATTTTTTCTTTCAAAACTAAAACACCCAAATCTTGACTTTCAATTCTTAATTATTTTATTTATTCAATTTATTTGCTGCCCATCTCATAGTGAATGACTCTGGGCAGCCTCCAGCATTAAAACATTAAAATCCTAACACGTAAATATCTTTAAAAGAATAAAAATAGAAATCCCAATCAAGATAAATTATAGTTCAAAGATGGGGAGTTATAGTTTATCCACATTTTTATTATAATTATAAAGACAGTTTGCAACATGAAATTGCTTTTCTGCAAGGTGAAAAATGTTGTTTGTCTGCTTGTTTGTCTTTCTAGGACATTTTCAATGCAGTCATCAAACAGAATCCCTTTCTTGTCTATCAGCTTCCCTGTTTCTGGAATGTCCAATTGTCAGACCACACACGCTCTGAACAATGCTATCGGGATGTTTCTGATCTTAAGGTAAGTTTTAGTTAATGGACTGACTAATAATAACCAGCTCTGCATATAGGTAGAGAGATTAATATATCTTATTTGTTTTACTTTTGTATATACTTATTCACAAGTGTTTTCTACCAAATTTTCTCAACATTAAAATTAAAACATACTATAGTTTTAATTCAGCTTCCCTGATATATGCATTTTGTATGCAACCATCTTTAATATATGCCTTTTAATACAAGAGTTGCATTACAAAATATATTATTTTAGCATTATAGGAACAAACATGGATGTCATGTAAGCATTTGTATTTGTGTAAGACGAAATTATAGAAGTATGGATAAAGCATTTTAGAATGATATATAAGTGAGTCAGATGTAATTAACCAGACTTTCTTCCCTCTCTTTTATATATTTATGGCACAAAACCTAGAGATGTCTTCAGCTCCAGGAAAGAAAATTGCTTATTAAAACTATTTGAAACTGGAAGCACCTGCAGGGTCCAATGCTTTCATCAAAATGAGAACACAGCATCATTGCCATTGCAATGGAAGCTCTGCTCATTTTTAGATATGTGCACAAGTACGACACACATACAAAAGGGCTGACTTTGCATTTTAATAGTATGATGTTGCTTTTGTTATTTACCATCGTCTCTCTTTCAAAGCAATCTTCAGTTTTATTTGTGAATAAAATGAAACCAAAAGAGAATATCACCTCTTTGACACCTTTATAGATCAAGGTTTATGACTATTAACATATAGTTATTTTCATGTATACTTAGAGGAAGTAACACTGTTCAGTGAGAATTGTTTCTAGGTAAGTAAGCAATGCAATGGTTTACTGTTCTTACGCTTTAAAAGTGGCAGGACATGGGATATTAAATGTAATTATTGCCATCTTGTTACCATCTTGGGTGTTAGCTGAGAGCTTAGAGCACTTCTACCTTTGGAAAATGGATGAATAGATTAAATAAAACATATTTCATAGAAATGATCATATTATAGGTAGTTGTCAACTTACAACTGTAATGGAGCCCAGAATTTCAACTGTGACTCATGATGGTCGTACATCAAGGCACCCATGTGTCTGACTCAATTTTACAACCTTTTGTGGAGTTCATGAAGTAAATGCCATGGTCATAAAGAGAATGCTGTGGACATTAAGGGAATACTGCAATCATTGAGCAAGGCAGTGCATGCCTATGAGCATTTTTTGCCAGAAACTGTCTGAAAAGGTTGCCAAGCACTCAAAATGTGGTCATGTGACTGCAGGGGATTGCTGCCATTGGAACTCCAGAACCAAGTTGTAACTATCTTTTGGGAGGGCATTGTGACTTTGAATGGTCCCTAAGCAACAGGTCATTAACCAAGAATTACCTGTATTTCTGCTAGATCATGGACTCTTTCTCAAACTTTGGCATTATTGTTGCTCCAGTAATGATATTGCATGCAGTAGGATTTTCCAGATCCTGAAAAATGTTTTCCACTTAAAAACTATAGATAAATTTTGGAAATTTTACTAAATAAAATCTATGCTTAGATATCTACAGATAGAACCATAGGGCTGTAAGGGGCCTTGGAGATCTTTTAGTCCAAAGACAAATGGCTGTCCAATCTTTTCTTGAAAACTTCCAGCAATAGAGCACTCTCAACTTCAGGAGGCAAGCTGTTCTATTGATTAATTGTTTGCACTTTCAGAAAATTTCTCCTTAGTTCTAAGTTGGATCTCTCTTTAACGAGCTTCCATCCATTGCTTCTTGTCCTACCCTCAGGTGCTTTGGAGAATAAGTCGATCATCTCTTGTCTGAAACAGATTCTCAAGTATTGGAAGACATCATATCACCCCTAATACTTCTTTTCGGTAGGCTAGACATACCTAGGTCTCTTAACCATTCATCATACAGTTTAGCCTCTTATCTTTGTTGACCTTCTCTGCACTTTTTATAGGATCTTACACTCTTTCTCAGGTCCTAGTGCCTTTTTTGTAATGTGGTAACCCAAACTGGACACAATATTTCAAGTGTGGCCTCATTAGTGCAGTATAAAGGTGTACTATCATTTCTCGTGATTGTGAAGCTATCCCTCTATTAATGCAGCTAGCTGCATTAATAGATAGCTGATAAGCACACATGTGATAGCTGATAAGCACACTGCTGGCTTATACTTAAGTGATGGTCCATTAGGATACCAAAATACTGCCATAGTTATTGCTGTTGAGCCAAGTACCATCTATTCTATATATGTGCATTTGATTTTTCCTGCCTAAGTGAAAGACCCTATTTATCTCACCACTGAACTGCATCTTGTTAGATCATGTACACACATTAGTATAGGATTGCGATTCCCCAACCGTTGCGACTTGGTGGTCCAACTGGGGGAGAAGAGGGGAACTGGGCCACGTGAGTGGTGGGCTGGCGCATGCACTCATACAGCTCGACTTGCATGAGTCATGGGCTGGTCTGCATACACACAAGTGCCCGCCAGCCCACTACTTGGGCAAGTTGAGTTGTGTGCACATGCTGGCCCATCACTCATGCGGCCCAATTCCAAATAAGCCACAGCCCAGGGGTTGGGAACCCTTGGAATAGGACACTGCCATGCACAAACAAAACAGTGGGATCTGGCTAGGAATGTAAACACATTCTGCTCCTAACAGATCTCCCAGTGGAATAATAACTACAATCAAGACAACACTGACCAGATTTCATTTCCCAAAAACAAAATAAGTGGGGCAAGGAAGATATTGGGAGATGGTGCACTTATTTTATCATATTTACAAGCTGCAGAAATATCTAGGTGTCTTTTTAAAAATGTAAACAACATGGATTTTCTTCAGTGATGATTCTGAACTCCCAAAGTTATTTTTGCAGGGTATTATGCAGTCAAATAAGAGTTGCTGTTGAATAAAAGGCTTGTACCCATGACAAAAATAGTCATTGTTAAGTCATAAATTAAGTATAACTCCCAAAAGCTGTCTGAGAGCCAGATCCTAATACAAATTGACTAAAGCAGTAGAAGAGAGGGGATTTTTATAAATGTGCATACTCTTCATATTTGCTATATGAAGTAAGTAGAACCAAAGTAATTTTATTCTCTTTATATACTTTTGATGGGGGAAGTGGAAAGGAGAAGGAGAGCGAGCTCTTCCATATTTGCACTATAAGCTAATGGGATAACTGCAAATTGCTTTACATCTCCAACCTAGTGTCAGTGCAGAGAATGATAAAACAAAATAAATCCCTGTTCTATAATTATGCTTAGCATCACTGGGTGTCTCACAGAAGTCATGTTAAGGTCTATTTTTGAAACAGAACTGCAGCTTAAAGTTGTTGCTTCATGAGCAGGACTCTATGGATCATATTAAGCTGAACTGATCAGTTTCATCCAAGAATAATTTCACTTGTGGATCTGCCCTACTTGTATCGAGAAATATATATCTATTTGTTTAATAGGCAGAGTCACTGGTGCATACGTGCGGTCCATGGGGGAGGGAAGTGAAGTTGACATATTTAGCACAAGCTTGATTTTTAAAACAAAAATGTGAAAATTAAGCAGTTTCAATGACATTTAAAATAAATGGCCCAATATAGTATATTTGGCACATTCAGTATTTCATACTGATTCCAGCTGGAGAGAAGAATAATGTAGAAGAAACCTCCAAGGGATAGGAAAGAAAGAGATGAATAGTACATGTTGGCATTAGAAGATTAGGAAGGATTGTGTGGGGGGAAAAGAACCATAAAAGTTTTTAAATTCCAAACTAAGCTGGACAAGATCTTAGCATTCCTTAAATCAAACAAAACCAAATTATTCCTATCAAGTAAAAAAGGCACCAATTTAATTTCATCTGGCCCCAAGATCACAGGGACTTGGGAATTTGTCAACATTATCAAAATATTCTATTTCAAAGTTAACTATGATCATAAGTGGCTGTTGTTCATTTATATATATATTTCTCTGTTGCTTTGCTCATAATTTTGAGCAATGAATGCCTTTTGTATGAGACAAAGGAGGGCAACTTGAGACCCCAGAACCAGCCCTCTTGGAGAGCATTGGGGGGGAGGGAGAAGACTTAATATCCTAGCCCTCACCTAGCACAAATTCCAAACATCACAATTTCCTGTTATTTTGATATGGGAAAGACATAAATACTACTGTATAAGCTCTAAAATAGTAAAATAAGTTAGAATAGCAAGCATAACTAACACCCCAAATATCCCCATCCAAAAGAAAAGAAAAAAGAAACTGTTCCCATGCATTACAGAGCTTTGTTTCATCTTGTGTGGAATGTTGTTGTTGTTGTTCAGTCATTAAATTGTATCTGATTCTTCGGGACCCCAAGGACCATAGCATGCCAGCTACCCTCCCTCCCCTTCCTCCACTGTTTCCTGGAATTTGTCCAAATTCATGTTCATTGCATTGATAACACTATTAGTTTTTGAAACTCAAAAGGGATGGGGTTTGGGGGTTTTGTTTTTGATTTTTTGAGTCTCCAGATAGTAAACTGTGTCCTGAATATCTTTCGAAATGCTCCAAATGTTTAGGACAATGGTTCTCAACCTTTTTAATGCCGCGACCCCCAACCAGTCGTAAGTCGAGGACTACTCAACTGGTGCAGCACCGTTTGCAGAATGGGACTTTTGGCAGGCTCAGCAGGGCAGAGACAGCCTGGACAAATCCTACTGGCTTTTGAAATCCTATTCAAGAGAGTCTATTCTATTGGCTTTCAAAAGCCAATAGAATAAAAGGGAGTAGCACAGCTAAGGAAAAGGGGGGGGGGAAATGGCGGACTGCGTTGTTTGGCGACCCCCGTGAAATGGTCGTTCGACCCCAAATGGGGTCCCGACCCACAGGTTGAGAACCACTGGTTTAGGAAATAGTTACAGAAGAAAGTGATTTAATTAACCATCCAACTGAAGCAATGTCCCTTCACTTTTTGGGTGGATTGTGGGAATAGTTCTTCAGATATTTGCAAAATCCTTTTTCATAATTAAGGAGCATTTTCTCTATGAGCACATGA